AGTTATTTTTAAATTTTAATAATACATCTAATTATGCAAATAAATTTAATTAATATTAATAAATTATATTTATTAATTAAGAAAAAAATAAATAAATAAATTATACTTAATTAAAAAAACCAAAAAGTTGTATATAAAAGAGAGAGAAAGATAGCAAAAAAATATTGATTAATTAAATAGTTAATTTTAAAGCTTAATAATATACTAATAAGTAATTAAATTTAGCAACTATGCAAGAGAAATAGCAAGGAGGTATTGGTCAATTTAATAGTTATTTTTAAAGCTTAATTATAAACTAATTATATAATTAAATTTAGCAGCAAGCTACATAATTGTATTGTGCAAAATTATAATAAATATTAAATTAATAAAACCCCCAAAAGTCATACACAGAAGAGAAAGAAAAAAAGTAAGATAGCAAGAAAGTATTTGTTAATTAAATAGTTATTTTTAAAGCTTAATAATATACTAATTATATAATTAAATTTAGCAGCAGACTATATAATAATATTGCACAAAATTATAATAAATATTAAATTAATGAAAAAACCTCTAAGCTGTATACAGAAGAGAAAGAAAAGGATAGATTGCAAGAAGGTATTGGTCAATTAAATAGTTATTTTTAAAGCTTAATAATATACTAATTATATAATCAAATTTAGCAGCAAGCTACGTATTTTATTGTGCAAAATTATAATGAATATTAAATTAATCAAAAGTCGTACACAAAAAGAAAGAAAGAGAGTGAGATAGCAAGAAAGTATTGGTTAATTAAATAGTTATTTTAAAGCTAAATTTAGCAGCAGACTATGTAATCATATTGTACAAAATTATATATAGTTATTACATACGAAGTATGCAATAACTGCTGTATTTTATGGATGATGATGATTGGTTGGTAACCCAGCCAGTATAGCTGGATTATTGAATGATCAGAAGAGAACATAAAATACAGCAGTTGGTGTATACGGAGCATACAATAACGGTTTTATTTTATGCTTTGCTATTTTAGATTTATGAAATAGTTTAATTATTTTAGCATTTAAAAATACTATAAAATAATTGATTTATTTTGTAAACTAATCATAGTGAAGTATTAAATAATAATGAATAGTAAATTAATGAAAAAATCTCTAAGTTGTACACAGAAGAAAAAAAAGAGAGAAAGATAGCAAGAAGGTATTGGTCAATTAAATAGTTATTTTTAAAGATTAATAATATACTAATTATATAATTAAATTTAGTAGCAAGCTACATAATTGTATTGTGCAAAATCATATTTAATATTAAATTAATAAAAACCCCAAAAGTTATACACAAAAAAAAAAAAAAAAGAGTGAGATAGCAAGAAAGTATTGGTTAATTAAATACTTATTTTTAAAGCTTAATAATATACTAATTATATAATTAAATTTAGCAGCAGACTACATAATCATATTATAATGAATATTAAATTAATAAAAAACCTCTAAGTTATATACAGAAGAGAAAGAAAGAGAGAGATAGCAAGAAGATATTGGTCAATTAAATACTTATTTTTAAAGCTTAATAATATACTAATTATATAATTAAATTTAGCAGCAAGCTATGTAATTGTATTGTGCAAAATTATAATGAATATTAAATTAATAAAAACCTTAAAAGTTATACACAGAAAAGAAAAAAAGAAAGAGAGATAGCAAGAAAGTATTGGTGAATTAAATACTTATTTTTAAAGCTTAATAATATGCTAATTATATAGTTAAATTTAGCAGCAGACTATGTAATCATATTGCACAAAATTATAATGAATATTAAATTAATAAAAACCTCAAAAGTTGTATATAGAAGAGAAAGAAAGAGAGTGAGATAGCAAGAAAGTATTGGTTAATTAAATAGTTATTTTTAAAGCTTAATAATACACTAATTGTGAGGGCTGATGCTGAAATTGGTTGATGCTGAAAATCACATGACATGCAATGTAGATCTTAGTATATGCATGCATAGGTATGCTTTTAAGAGTAACTAATAAATAGTATCATTTATTCCTATTAGTAGCACTTTTTAAAATAAGGCTAGCGCTAGCTTTAGTCATGGTAGTAAGTTGAAATTAGAGCAAAGTTTCAGGTATGTACATACGTACGTAGGTTCTTAGTTGGGTTCTGGCTTAGTAATAAGCTGTCATGTACTTTAAATGCAGATCTTTTTCATGTGGAATTATAAAAATGGTAAGTTTACCCTTTTCACATATTGCACAAAGATGCTAGTTTGCAAACTTCCTATTTTTGCTATGGCATTATATGAGAAACTTGGTTGTGTGGGCTTAGACAAATCTGGTTTTTTTTTGAAAATGCTAAGCTTATATTCATCACAACAGAGAATTTCAAACTAAGCCAAATGTGGGTTCAATAAAAGTTAGTATGTCGTGGATCAAAAAAAAAAGCTAGACTAGTCAATTCAACGGTGAACCAAAAGTAAGAAGAAAAAAAAAGGTTGTAGTCTTTTTTTTTTTCTCTATAAAATATAAAACTCATTTTTCTTTTTTTTTTTAACAATGAACCTAGAATGAGGTATTAGCAAAAGGAGTTTTCGTAATGCTAAATGAAAACCTTAAATAGAAAATTACATAGAGTTTACATTTTTACACATACTCAAAAATATGAGCTAAGACCTTAAAAGTTTTTTCTTTTTAAAAAAAAAGGTTGGTTGGTTTATAATCAATTTGGCTTTTATTTTTTCGTAAGTGTGAAATTTATTCTACTTTATTGACAGTGAACTAAAATGGCATGAAATATATGTAAAACCTAAAAATTATGAAATTAGGGCTTCGAAATCTAATAAGGGTAAGAACGTAGGCAAAAAAAAAAAGTGTAGAAAGGTCGGTTGGCTTAGCTTAGCTTTATTTGAATATGAGACTTAATATGTCTTTATGCTACTAATAGAGAACCTGAAATGATATAGGCTAAGATATTACTTGGAGTTTTTTTTTTTCCTTTTAAAAAAAAAAAGATTGTTTATGATTAGTTCAGTTCAGCCTTCTTGATTTGTAAATATGAAATTTATTCTACTTTATTGACAGAAATTAAAATGGTGTGAAATATATAATTAGATATAATACCTAACAAGGCTTCAAAATCTAATAAGGGTGAGAATGTGTACAAAAAAAAAAAAAAAAAAAGCCAATAGGTTGGTTGGCTTGTAATCAATTTAGTTTATTTGAATATAAGACTTACTTTTTTTATGCTACTAACAGGGAACCCGACTGAGGTATTGGGCTAAGATTTCCAAAGTTTTTTTTTAAAAAAGAGGTTTGTTTATAATCAGTATGGCCTTCTTTTTTCATAAATGTGAAATTTACTAAAACGACGCCTAAAAATTATAGAATTAGGCTCAAAATCTAATAAGAGTGGGAACATGAGCAAAAAAAAAAAAAAAGTCTTAAAGTTAGTTAACTTGTAATTGATTTAGTTATATTTAAATGTAAGATTTACTTTTCTTATACTACTTACAGGTAACCTGACTGGGATATTAGGCTAAAATCTCAAAAGTTTTTTTTTAAAAAAAAGAGGTTTGTTCATGATCAGTATGGCCTTCTTTTTTGTAAATATGAAATTTACTCTACTATATTAACAGAAACTAAAACAGTGTAAAATATATAACTTGTAATGCCTAAAAATTATAGAATTAGGCTCAAAATCCAATAAGGGTTGGAATGTGGGCAAAAAAAAAAAAAAAAAAATCATAAAGTTGGTTTTGTAATCGATTAGTTTTATTTAAATATGAGACTTACTTTTTTTATACTACTAACAGGGAACCTGACTGAGATATTGGGTTAAGACCGAATAATACTGGCATGAAATGTAGTCATGAAAAAAAAAAGATTAGCCTAAAATGTTAGGTTCTTTTTTTTTTCTTTACTTACTAGAGCTTGGAACTGGTTTTATTTTTTAGATTAAACTGGTTCCAAACTCTGTCACACACATGACGATCAACAGTAAATTGGCCAATAGCTAATCATGTTTTTGTTGTTTTTGCAATCACTTAAACTATTTAATTAACCTCTAGAAAAAAAAATTTTTTTTTTTTTTTTTACCAAGTTAATCATGCCTGCAATCCCAAAAATTCCTGAAACACCAGCAGAATACCAGTCAATGGTAGCATACCTCCAATCTAATATTATTCCTTCAGATTTCAAAGCCCTTGAAGATAAACATAATTTTATAAGGCAGTGTAAAAAATTCGAGGTTGATGAAAACGGGGTTCTTTATCTTTTGGCTATTTCTAAAAATGGTGAAGTCAAATGTGGAAGATGTCGTGTAGTTCCCCCATACAATAAAGAGTTACGCAGTTTATTGCTAGATCATTTTCATGATCAAGCTAACCATTGTAGTTATCATAAAACATTCGCTACACTTTCGGAAAAGCACATCAGTATTACACAACAAAGTGTGCAGGAATATATTAATAAATGCACTGCTTGCTTTATAAATAGTTCAATTAAAGAAAAAACAAATATAAAACCTGTTGTTTCAATAGCACCATGGCATCATATCCAAATTGATCTTATTGATTTTCAGGAGTTTGCCAAAGTAAATTATGAATTTGCATGGTTGCTTACATGTATATATATTTTTTCTAAGTATTTAATTGCAATTCCTATGAAAAATAAAGAGAATAGTATCGTCACAATGCATCTTGTTAAAGATGTTTTTAGAATTTTTGGGCCTCCAGTAGTTATGCAAAGTGATAATGGTAAAGAATTTGTAAGACATATTGTTATACAAATTTGTAAAATGTTAAATATTACTATCAAGCATGGGCATTCTCGCCACCCACAAGCCCAAGGACAAATAGAACACCTCAATCAGACCATCAGCTGCGGATTTACAAAATTGTTGTGGGATAACAATAACTAATTGCAACGAAAAGACTGGATAGATCATATAATTCATCAATCTATAGAGCACATGGTCGTACTTTGGCTGGAAAATGCACGGTGTTTACGAAACACTGTGCATTTTCTAGTTAGCAGCGGAGACAGAGATAGAGGCATTATCAGAAAAAGAGGCAGAAGCAGAAGCAGCAACTGAAGCAGCAGCAGAAGTAGCAACAGCAACAAAAGCAGCAGCAGCAACAGAAGCAGCAACAAAAGTAACGGTAGAAGCTGCGGCAGAAGCAATGACAGAAGAAATGACAGAAGCCATTGAACAACGTACTTTGCAAATATCAAAGATTTAACAATCTGTAAATGATAAATTAGGAAAATACTGTGAAAAAATGGATCAGTATGGAAGTGTTCACTGAAAGAAGTCGCCCAATAATACAATTGAGCCTGGTATATTGGTTATTATTGCAATGGATCATGACACAAATCCGCAAACTCGAAAATGAAAACTGCAACCAACATATTCACAAGATAGTATATTCAAGCAATTAACCGCCAATAACCACACGGCAATCATTGAGGTGAATAGCAAAGACATACCAGTTCCTATCAAAAGAGTTAAAATTAAGTGATAGAATTTTTTTAAAAATTTTCAATTTAAATTTTTTTTATATAGAATTTAAATTTTTTTTTATTTAAATTTTAAATTAGAATTTAAATTTTTTTTTTTTATATTTAAATTTTTTTTAAATTTAAAATTTTTTTAAATAAAGTAATTGAACAACCACGAATAATTAACTTTTTAAACATTCATATTTCTCAAATAGTCACTATCACTTTATACAAATTGCATCTTAAAATCCAAATACAAAGGTTAAAGCTATCACCAAAATCTATAATCCACTAAACTCAAATTTTGGACTTGAATCACATTGCACTTCGCACAGTATATTACTTGTGGGATGAATGCTAGTTTTACCTTGAGTGACATATGCTTCATTCCACATTACTCATAGTAGTATAAAACATTAAATTTCAAAAAAAAAAAAAATCAAGCTTACCAAAAATTACTCTTTTTCGCATTTTGAAAAAAACTAAATAGACATAACAGGCTTTTTGACACAATGGCATAAAAAAACCCAAGCGATTGCAAATAGCTAATTTTTTTTATTTTTTCCATTCTTAATAGGCCATTATTAAATTGAACTGATCAAATCTTCAACCCATTTCATTAAACTTGACATGCTCTGGATTTTGTTCTGGGTTTCTCTAGGTTGTCAAATTGTGTTGGTTTAACCTGAAGTGGCCCAGATAGAATAAAGCATAAAGGTTCAAAACAAGATGTGAAGTCTAAAAATAAAGAAAGGAATTTTAATGAAGATAATAAGTTGAAGAATAATAAAACAAGTGAGCTTGGTGAAAATGGAGTCGAAATAGCAAATATAAAATGTTCACTGATTGTCAAAAAAGCCCAAGATGATGGAACTGGAGTCAATAATGGTGCATACAAGATATTCGAATATAGCCCAAAATCTAGTAAACAAATGAAGTATATGCTGGTGACTATCACTACTGATGGTGGCAGCTCAAATGAACAAAACAACCTTAGATTATGTTACCAAATGACATAAGCTCAGATGAGAATAAAAAAAGGCACTAGAGTGAAATTTGAAATCTAATAAAAGTATGATTACAACCAGTGTTGTCACTGAAAGACTACCGGAAGGTCACTGGAAGAAAATTAATAGTGTTACTGGAACTTAAAATTCCAGTGCCACTATTGATTTAACTTCTAGTGGCCTTCTGGTGGTCTTCCAGTGACAACCCTAATTACGACGAGTAAAGCTGAAATCAGTCTTGTGAAAACACTGTTGAAGTTGGAGTGGTTGTGAATGCCTATTTGGTTGATAAATTAATAAAGGTTTATAAATTTGAATTTGAAAAAGCAAAGGTATGAAAAAATAAAAGCAGTAATTAATTAGTGGTGTGCTAGTGGTAACGCCTAGAGCAGTGATACCTGAAGCTGAAATTATTTGCTTATGAAATGTTCGTGACTAATTTACTAACTTTTTTTAAGGAAAAAACTAACGTTTAAGGACCTTCTTGTCATAGTAAGTCCAACCTCTCTAAATGCACACTAGAGAGAAAAAAACTAATGTTTATGGACTTTCTTTGTCATAGTAAGTTCAACCTCTCTAAATGCATACTAGAGGGAAAAAAACTAATATTTACAGACCTTCTTTGTTATAGTACGTCCAACCTCTCTAAATGCATACCATAGAGACCAAACTTTCTATGCATTTACTAAGGTCAAGTATATTCACACCAGAATTTAAGTATGTATTCATAGAGGGGAAATACAGTATTAATTATATTGGTTAATTGATGCACCTAATTTGATGCTATTGACACACCTATGCATGTGTATACTAAGATCTATATTGCATGTTACATGATTTTCAGTATCAGCCAATTTCAGCATCAGCCCCCACACTAATTATATAATTAAATTTAGCAGCAGACTACATAATTATATTGCACAAAATTATAATAATATTAAATTAATGAAAAAACCTCTAAGTCGTACACAGAAGAGAAAGAAAGAGAGAGATAGTAAGAAGGTATTGGTCAATTAAATAGTTATTTTTAAAGCTTAACAATATACTAATTAAATAATTAAATTTAACAGCAGACTACATAATCATATTCTGCAAAATCATAATGAATATTAAATTAATGAAAACTCCTAAAAGTTGTATACAGAAGAAAAAGCAAGAGAGAGAGATTGTAAGAAAGTATTAGTCAATTAAATAGTTATTTTTAAAGCTTAATAATATACTAATTATAAAATTAAATTTAGCAGCAAACTATGTAATCATATTGTGCAAAATCATAAAAAATGTTAAATTAATAAAAAAGTCTCTAAGACATATATAGAGGAGAAAGAAAAAGAAAAAAAGATGGTAAGAAGGTATTGATCAATCAAATAGTTATTTTTAAATCTTAATAATACATCTAATTATGCAAATAAATTTAATTAATATAAATAAATTATATTTATTAATTAAGAAAAAATAAATAAATAAATTATATTTAATTAAAAAAAATTAAAAAAGTTGTATATAGAAGAGAGAGAGAAAGATAGCAAGAAAGTATTAATTAATTAAATAATTAATTTTAAGCTTAATACTAATTAAGCAATTAAATTTAGCAAACTACACAATCATATTGCACAAAATTATAATGAATATTAAATTAATGAAAACTCTCAAAAGTTATACACAGAAGAGAAAGAAAGAGAGAGAGATTGTAAAGATATTGGTCAATTAAATAGTTATTTTTAAAGCTTAATAATATACTAATATATCATTAAATTTAATAGCAGACTATATAATCGTATTGTGCAAAATCATAATGAATATTAAATTAATGAAACTCCTAAAAGTTGTACACAGAAGAGAAAGCAAGAGAAAGAGATTGTAAGAAAGTATTGGTCAATTAGATAGTTATTTTTAAAGCTTAATAATATATTAATTATATAATTAAATTTAGCAGCAAACTATGTAATCATATTGTGCAAAATTATAATAAATGTTAAATTAATAAAAAAAGTCTCTAAAGTTATATATAGAAGAGAAAAAAAAGAAAAAAAGATGGTAAGAAGATATTGGTTAATCAAATAGTTATTTTTAAATCTTAATAATATATCTAATTATGCAAATAAATTTAATTGATATAAATAAATTATATTTATTAATTAAGAAAAAATAAATAAATAAATTATATTTAATTAAAAAAAACTAAAAAAGTTGTATATAGAAGAGAGAGAGAGATAGCAAGAAAGTATTGATTAATTAAATAATTAATTTTAAGCTTAATACTAATTAAGCAATTAAATTTAGCAGAATACACAATCGTATTGCACAAAATTATAATGAATATTAAATTAATGAAAACTCTCAAAAGTTATACACAGAAGAGAAAGAAAGAGAGA